TAATCACTGCACCCAACATGGTCTGGAATGAAATATGATCCCTCGAACCCTGTCAATTACCTAACCCCCAAACCTGCAAACATGTATATGCCTTTCTACAAGTTTTGAATATTCAACCTCTTTTAAAAAAAAAAAATTGCTCCGGTCTATTGGGGGGGGGGCGCAGCACCTGCTGGATAACGGATGCAGCGTCCCGACTTTTGCATCATCTTTTTCACATAATTCTATACGTTCGCATTTATAGTTCTACTATTCATGGACTAAGTAGCAATGCCTTGCCACCCCCCTTGCCAGTATGCAGGATCTTATAAACTTTCAGCTAGGTGATTCGTCACGCAACTTCACTCAGATTTGTGTCCTACTAGTCGCTCAGCTACGATCCTGTCATTCCCATAGATTTCGATCTAATTAAACCATCAGTGCTTGGCCCAGCTGTCAATGCCGAGCCTCAAAAAGTCGTGCGCACAAAGTTTTGCCGAACCGCCAACACACCGGTTTTTTTTTTTTCTTTTTTTTCCCGTTTCGGCTGTCGCCTCCAGCCTCTGTGGTACGGTACCCCGGAGCACGCAGGTCGCGGCCCGTTAACGGCTAAGGCCCGTGGCTGATAGCTGGGCCACGTACATGCAGTTTAAGTTGGTTCGCACTTCGCACCTAGGTGGCTTCAAATTACATAGACATTTCCACTATGCTCGCTTCAACGATCATATTATTTTGTGTCACTTTGAAGTATTATGATAAATCAGCAGGTAATTATACGCACACCCAATCAAATAAGTGTAGGCCCAGACATAAGGAATCCATAGATTCCATACTACTATGCTGCACAATAGCCCAGATGTGACCTTGGATACTCTAACCGCCAGTACCTTTCCCAGCTATCCGCCTCAGGCCTCAGGCGCTGCGGGCCGAGTTTTGGCAGCACATCTGCCCGCCGCCAGAGGCCAAGTGCGGCCTCCGTGTTAACAGGCGCGAAACGGCAAAATGGACTGGGAAACGTACTGGTGGTTATGGGGCATCCGCAGTTCTAATCCACGGATGCTGTGCCCCTAGAAAACGAGGACATTTTAACTTATGTCTCATTTTCTCACAAGACACGAACGACTAGATCTCCTACAGCTTGCCCAAGTGTACTGAAGTACTACTATTAATCAGCACTACAAGCTCACTATTAATCAGCACTACAAACTCACTATTGCATGAAAAAAAGAAAAAAAAAATCCATGGCCAAGGAGATCATCTAAGTAAGCCTCCTGTGTTTAGGATAGGCTCCGAGATACAAGCAAATAAAGCAGGTTCTGACGTCTTTAATTTTAAAGTCACTTTGCCTTATTGTTTCTAAAAGACACGAGTTTACTCCCCCTGGATGCCCTGTATTATTGCATGTAAAATAAAGGAATTGCTGTGTTGTATTCAGGAATCCACTGAGTTGTTAAGCCACCAGTACTCGGCCCAGCTATCGGCCGCAGAAAAGAATAGAGTAGAAACATTGCTAGTCGGATGAATTTGGGCGCCCCTGTAGTGGCCCGTACCTTTCCTAAAATCGTGGCTAGATAACAGGCACAACGTTGGGAAAGTACTGGTTGGTTTAATGATCGGCATGAAATGGCCCATTTTTCATACCCTTTTTTTTTTTTTTTTAAAGACAAAACTCCAATCTATTGGTGGGGAGCAGCAAATCTATTGGTGGGGAGCAGCACCTGCTGGAAAACGGGTCCAGCGTCCCATTATCTTGGGATGTGCCGAAATTGTTTTTCTTCGGAGCACGGTGGTGCGTTTCGCGTCATGACATGCCGCCGGTGCACACATCTCTCTCTCTCTCTCTCTCTCTCTCTCTCTCTCTCTCTCTCTCTCTCTCTCTGCCATGATCGAGGTCAAGAACCAGCGGAATCGGATTGTGATGGTCTAGATCCAGATGGAAAAACGACACCCACGATTGTAATACATTCACCTCTCAAACCCCAAGCCGAATCAGCCGTCCCAGGACAACTACAACTGCCACGGTGACCTGTAGTAACCTTTCAAGTTCATATTATCTTCAACAGCAGCATCGGGATCCGTTCCCCGCTCCCGCTTTTCCCGCTTCTACCTGTGCCTTAGGGGCGGAAACGATCTTCTTCTATTCTCCTACTACATGTTGCGGCGGAAAGGGCATCCTCCCGCTCTCTGCGCTCTTTCTCTCCCTCTAATCTCTACTCAATATGGCCGCCCCGTCTTTTCCCGAGTGCAGATATGTCAAAGATCGACTAATTAGCGACTCGCGCGCCTATGGCCTCTGTATGTATTTTGCATGTGTATATCTCCGTCCTTCTTTATATATGCTCTGGTTAACTCGTGTTTTTTATATCTGTCCCGGTTAACCCCGCGTGTTAACGCCGCGTGTTTTGATATTGTCCTCGTTAGCTCCGCGTGTTAACCACGTGTGTTTTGATATGTGTCCTCGTAAACTCTGCGTGTTAACCTCGGTTGTTTTTTTTTACTTGAGCTCGGATTTCTTGTTAACTCAACAAGCGAACCAGGGTGTTTGTAAGGTAACCAATCAAACAAGCAATCAACAAGTGAGCAATCAAGCAACTTGAAGCAAAACATGCGAGCAATCAAGCAAGCAATCAACAAGCGAGCAATCAAGCAAGCAATCAACAAACGAGCAATCAAGCGAGCAATCAAGCGAGCAATCAAGCAAGCAATCAAGCAGGCAATCGAGCCAGCAATCAAGCAAGCAATCAAGGCAGCAGAGATAGGCAATTTTTTTTTTTCCTCACCCTCGTCCCCACCCGCCCCAAAAAAAAATTCCCACATCCACCCGACCCAAGAATTTTATTTTTTACTCTTAGACAACCCCACCCACCCAAAATATTTTTTAATATTTCAGCCCCACGCCCGATCCGCCCGTGACCTGAAAAAAACCCTCGCCCACACCCGCCCGCAACCGTAAGAGTATCATCACCCGCCCGCGTCCAATACCTAAATTTTCTTCACCCGCACCCACCCGCATCAGCCCGTGCCTGCCCATGCCAGTCCATTACACCATCACGATTTCATCGACAACATAGCATTGCAATAAAGACATCTAAAATCCTATTATTAAAACAACGACAACATCAATGCAATCAGACTCGTCTTTTTTTCCACTTCGCATACATGCAAACAGACGACAATTCACGCTGGCGCAAAGCGCCTACTCAAAGCTCAGAGATATGGACAAAAAGAACACAGTTCAGTTGCAAATTCACTTCAACAGGCTATGGCGCACCAGCGCCTATACATCCCACCCTCATCACTGTGTCCAACACCACTACTTGCACATGCTCACTCTGGATCACCCTGAATACTCCACACACACACACTCTATCAAGTACCTCTACTCTACGACGGCTATGGCAGCTCGCCACTACTACTATGGCTACGATCTCCCTTCAGTCCACTTCGTATTCGGGCAACCTGCAGACCACCTTCGCACAAAACGTTGTAGCAGCGCTTCCGCATGCCTTACGCAGCGAATGAATGAATGGCTGGGCGCTGCCTCTTGATTTATACTTTTGTAACTCGTTGGTCTGGCCCTTTCCCAGGCCCTTGGTGCACACTATCCGACACGGTACTTGCTTGACTGGACCGGTGCCGCTGACTGCATGGGTTTGCACTGCCAACTCTATGCAGTCGCACTGCCGACGTAACATAGTTGGCTCACCACTTGCCCACTTCCCTCTGACTAAAGGCCCACTACTTGCCCACTTGCCTCTGACTAAACGTAGGACACTTCGAAAAGCCACTTCCGGACCTTCCGGAAGGCTGTGGACTTGGCCTTTCGGGTACTGTAGCAGCTACGACCCTTACCTTTCATGACTGTAGCAGGTACGACCTTGACCTTTCAGACCATCTACGACCACGACCTTTACAGAGTTGTGACTCCTAATTGACAGACCTACAAATCAAACCCCTACCACTACACGGACCTGCGACAGACGACAAACACAGATCACGAGTTCAAACACTCAGCGGTCGACTCGGTACTGTACATGGGCAAAGTGAGGTTTGGGGATCGAACTCTAGGGCCCGTATCCGTGACTGTCGAAAGGTGAAAACCGTTTCATCAACAATGTGACTCGAACTTCTCAAAGGAAAATATTTTAAGATTTTTTTTTTTTGCCCAGGGGCAGCTGCACTGCTTTCACACCGACGTTACTTCATCGGGACGTGGTCAACTGAATCAAACACTTTTTTCTTTGGCTCTCAACCTCAAGCCCGACGTATTACACAAGGAGAGGAAGGAGGGGGGGGGGGGGGGGGGGGGGGGGGGGNTAACAACTACTGTGGTGAGAATTCAACCATAGCCCCCCCCCCCCTCACGAGGATGATCTGTCATGTAAGGCCAATTTTAAGTAACCACGGGTTTGTACCCTGATAACACGCCCCCTTCAGGAAAGTGCCTGACCCAAGCCTTGGAGATACCACTTGGAGATCCTCTCCTCCTCTCCTCCTCTCCTCCTCTCCTCCTCTCCTCCTCTCCTCTCCATGAAATCAATATGGGTACTGCAGGGCAAATTACCCGTAATCCACCGTGTAAACGTATGTGAACCTGAAAGATGACAGAGTGCATGATGGATGGTACCACGGAAAAGAAGGTTTTTGCCTGCGAGTGCCATGCACCACAGCCGCCTTAAACCCTAAGTCCTTAACCGTAACCCCCTTAGACCCCCCCTAGATCCCTTAGAGCACCCCTAGGTCCCCCCAAACACCACCCCCCCCAAGCCTTCTAAAACCCCAAAGCCCCCTAAAACACCTTACCCCCCCTACGCGTTCAAACCCCCCTAACCCCCCTAGACCTCCCTAACCCGCTGAACCCTAAAACTGCTCCCAGAGGTGGTCCATGCATCTGACGACAGTTTCATCAGATCATGTCATATCAACCGGTATACGTATATATACCCAAACGACAACAACGTGCACTATGATTAAAAGGCCAGAACTGTTTCCGGCTGCCTGTCTCCATGCACGACTGGTGGCGAAAAGACTGGATTTCATTTTCTTCCGCCAAAAGAATTCGGCGGGAATCGACGACAAACAGCAGTGCGATGTACACAGACAGCCTTCCGGCGCCAAGTGCGAGTGCCGGGGGAGGGAGGGAGGGAGGGACACTAGAACACCCTCCCCCGACACTCATTCGTAACTTCTAGTGTTCCCCCCTCCCTCATCCTCCCATGGGGTCTGCTTTGTCTTCTTATGCCAAAATCATTCTGCGCCAAAAGCGATGACAAGTCGGGTCGAGATGTACGGCCCTCTGGAACCAACCCTGAGTGCCAAGGGAGGGGGTCTTATTGCGATTGCTTCCCTCCTCCTCCCACGAGTCCCCTCCTTTGCTTGAACTCGACATTCCGCTGATCACTCCCATCTGGAAGCAAAGCTCCGCAGGTTGCGTGCCTGCCAGCACGAGTCACGATCATAACAGAGACAAACAGCTGCTTCAGCACCGGCTACATAACCTCTGCCCTATTCGACAAACAGCTGCTTCAGCTGCTTCAGCACAGGTAACGAACTACGAAAGCCTCTCATTCATTAAACCACCACTACCTCCAAGCCTCTCTTTGCCGAGGGGGAGTAGAAGTCGTAGAACTGCGCACCAAGCTTTGCCGAAGTGCCAGCGCCACAGCTTTCCTTTCATTTTGGCTGGGGTCGCCCGCCGTTTTGGTGGTCTGGTGGCGCCCGGCGGCCTCCAAAGAGCGCGGTACAGGTAGGTTATATTTACTACTTAGATTTCCACGCTGAAAGGTAGTGGCGGTTTTCAGTCAGACAAAGAAGATGCATGGTTTACTCCTAGCTTTAAGAAATGACCTTCAGCCCCCCATAGACACCTGGAAGTGTCGCATAACGACGCCTTCCATATAGCCCCATATACATCCGCATATACCCCCCCTATCCATATACACCCGAATATACCCCCCCTATCCATATACACCCGCATATAGCCCCCCAATCCCAATCTGAGTGGCAAATGAGTATAAAGGGGTTGAAGGAGGTGATGGCGCCATGATAGTAAAACTCATGTCATCTTCTTCTCATTAAGTTTCCATTTTTCAGATTTTTCTACAATTTGCTGATGGTCGCATAGCGAGCAATGCCTTCATTCACTCGGAAAAAAAAAGAGGTAAAAAAAAAAAAAAACCCTGACCTCTGCTCCTGTTGAATCATACATATGCTGTATCATATGGTCATGTATCTTCTTCTTCTTCTTTTCTTTTTTTCGCTTTCTTCTTCTTCTTCTTCTTCTTCTTTTATATTGTTCAAACTTCAAATGCTGTTATCCAGGAGGGGTCAGGTTTTTTTTTTTTTTTTTTTTTTTTTAGGATAGATATGTGGGCACATATGGTCACATATTAATCAAGTAGTACAAACTGTAGAAAAAGTGCATTTGGCGAAACGAATGCAGAAAAACCCAGACACCATGAGGCACACTGAAAACCATTCTTGTTCAACTTGTTGCCTTTTCCCTGTGCAGTTCTATCGATTCGTTCTTGCTTCTCCTTCTCTCTTTTCCCGTTTTTTTTTGACGTTTTCTCGTATATATATATATCGTCAAATAGAACTGCCCGGTAAACCGTAGGCAGAGAGGGAGAAGAGGACAACAAATGAGGGGCTGTGACAAACTGTTTCGTCGGAGTTTCACCGACTCATCAGGAGGTATATATATATATAAATCGTCACAAACAGAACTGCCCGGTAAAACCGTAGGCAGAGAGAGAGAAGAGGACAACAAATGAGGGGCTGTGACAAACTGTTTATATATATATTTATATATATCGTCAAATAGAACTGCCCGGTAAACCGTAGGCAGAGAGGGAGAAGAGGACAACAAACGAGGGGCTGTGACAAACTGTTTCGTCGGAGTTTCACCGACTCATCAGGAGGCTGAACCGTATATATATATATATTCAGCCTCCTGATGAGTCGGTGAAACTCCGACGAAACAGTTTGTCACAGCCCCTCGTTTGTTGTCCTCTTCTCTCTCTCTGCCTACGGTTTACCGGGCAGTTCTGTTTGTGACGATATATATATATATATATATGCGTAGGCAGAGAGAGAGAAGAGGACGACAAACGAGGGGCTGTGACAAACTGTTTATATATATATATATAGAGAGAGAGAGAGAGTCAAACAGAGGAGCTGACCGGTAAACCGTAGGCAGAGAGGGAGGGGAGGGAGAAGAGGACAACAAACGAGGGGCTGTGACAAAATTGTTTCGTCGGAGTTTCACCGACTCATCAATCAATAGAGGCTGAACCCTCAAAAACAGTCTGCAGAATCCCCTAACTGATTACACTGTAAGTGATACTCCACCTTAACCCCGGCGGTTGGGATTAAGCATCAACGACTGCCCGACAACTGATACCCTGAGGTGGGCACCAACCAAACTTGGCCTAGTAGTCCTGGTTGGCCTGATGCAACCAAAATAACCAGGGTGCACAGGCTAACAAGACCCAGTTTTCATTTAGGGTCATCAGCAGTATAACACCATCACAGTACGGCGGGGGGGGGGAAGGGGAGATGGGGTGGAGGGGGGGGGAGTTACAAAGAAAGGATGGATGATTTCTGTGATTCCGAAACTGTTCACTAAGAGGTCTGAAATTCCTTTCAGACCTGCTGAGCCGTGGTAATGTACTCTGGCCACTTCCATGCACAAATCATTCACCTGACCCTTGAACCGGCCAGATACATTCCGGCAGGATATTCATACGATTTCAAACTCCCTCTATGGTGCATTTTTGCTATTTTTTGGGCTATTCCAACCGCAAATCCCGAAACAAGTGGACTGCCTCTTACAGAGTCTTACTCCCGTCTTCCCCTGAATAGAACGCCAGGTCTTTAATAGCTGTGTATTCGGCACAACTGTCAGTCTACATACAGTGACAAGGACCAGGCATTTTATTCCAGTGAAGACAGTAGAGACCGTGCATATGTGTTCATAGTGTGGATTGCATGCAGAACGACGGACACCAGGTCTTTAATAGCTGTGTATTCGGCACAACT